TGTCTGATGGTCACTCACTTTGCTCATCGTTGGCTGCTTGCGAAAGTAACTCTGATGGTCTGAAGTTCTTTCAATGCTACAATAAGGCGGTAAGTGTTCGTCTGAAGCTGAAAAATTAAATCAWTTGAAAATTTAGTTCAAAATCCTAAAAAGCATTGAGTTAACTAAAACTTTAACTTATAACAACATCATCCATACATATAAATTAGTATTATAAATATTTACCTGGTATACATACTGATTTCCTTCATCCCTCTGTTTATCTTAACAGTCTGACGATAACAGCCCAAACTTGTTTAACATCACCGTCACATCGGAGCGCATTGCTGACAAATTGACAATTTCATATCAAGCCATCAACGACACCGAACGCKTGTGTACTACTAATGCCCGTGTTAAGAACGTGAATGACTTAAGTACTAGTAGAGCGTATCTAAATGATTGTTTACTTGGAGAGTGGAGTCCATCAGAAGGTGCCGATCAGTTAAGTGAAAGTCGGATGTTACCCAAACAGGACTCTGAGCCAATCGCTCGCATGTTAGCGTTTAAAACCATAGACCGATTGTAGACRCATGAGTCGCAAGAGAAAGAATGTTATAGAGTAAAACTTATTTATAATTYATAAATTTTTGTAAAAAACAAAAAATAGCAATAACACAGAAATGATCTTGAAGTGACTTAATTTAAAGTAAGCTTTCTGTAATCATCCAAAGTAGGCTATTAAAGTTAAAGGTAAACAAATCAACTTCGTCAGTTTCGGTTGGTCATGTGTAGAAGTTCACGCAAGTGAGGAAAGTTCTCTTATCGCTCTTCACGTGGGAGTAGGGCAGAAAATGTTACTTTATATGGTTCAAACATCTTACGACATTCGGCTTTAGACCAAGTGTCGTCTGGGTAGCCAAAAAACAACCGCTTGAAAGGGTGCTAAAGTGAGTAGGCGTAAAATTCTTCCCCAAAGTTGTGCGCTRGGTTTGGGACCCGAGAAGTAAAACTGGTTTGGGATATCAATGCAATTCTTTATTCCTGTGAAGTKCTTGGTAAGTGAAAAGTACATTCGAAGTCATTAGGTATGGAACTCGATTTGTTTTGCATGACCACCWTGACCATATTATTCTAAATTCCACGGGCACACTTGCAGAAGTTTAGACGTTGAACCCAATTTCCGACGGGTTTCAAGCATAAATCGACCGATACTGCTGCAATTTCACGTTCGAAATTCATCAATTGTCACTGGCTTGTTGGCATAGGCCATAGACTTGACGTAGCCCCACAGGAAATAGTCTAACGGCGTGAAATTGACTGGGCCATTTCATGAGACAAACGCTCACCAAACTTGGTTTTCAATAAATCGATAGTGACATTCGGTGCCCGGCTTGTGGTACCGTCTTGTTAGAAGCACATAATGTAAGAGTCCATGTCATCCATTCACAGTAACGTGCCGGTCTTGATCATCAYGGRAAAAGTACGGMCCAATGAYGCCGCCGTCTCATAAACCGCGTAATTCTTTCGGAATACAATGCTTACTGGTGGAGTACGTGTGGATTGCTGCCTGACCAATAACGCATATTTAGCTTATTGACGAGGCCACGCAGCCAGAAATAAGTCTCTTCGCCGAAGATGGTTTTTCGATGAATATCCGGATAATTTTTAGTTGTTTCTCGGCTCCATACACGAACACAGTACGTTTCTGGTGATCAAACGGCTTAAACTCTTGCGTCAATTTGATTTTGTAAGGATATAGGCCAAGATCTCTTTGCAAAATTCCCCACACCATCATCAGAGTGATGCCCAAAGCTTGGGAATGACATGTGAGAGACATCTCTTCCTCATTTGATGTGCTAGCGGTAGAAAAATTCTCTATTCTTCTTTGTCTCACTGTCACGGGAACATTTAATACTGYGCCTTTGGATTAAAATTTATTCACTAGACACTGAATTTTTGATYTGACAGGACGATTATGGTGACCATAAATTGGACATAGCGCTCTTAAAGTTGACTYCGAAGTTCGGTAGTAAATTTTAATTATTTCGACTTGTTGTTGAATTGTATATCTTTTCATGATGAAATGGKGGACCTYACTGAAGAGAAATGCCAAAAGAGCGGGAAAATATATGATGTCTTTTGATTTCCCTATCGGGACGAAGTTTTGAGCTCAGAAATGATCCAATATTCGATTATGATTACTTTTATCATTGCTTTCAAATTTCAACTAAAATCCCAAGAGTTACAAAGGCCAAARATAGCGATTAAACTAGTGAGTCACTCAAGGTGTTGCGATTTTTATTACAGGAATTCTAACTCAGAGTTTCAGAGCCTATAATAAAGGCGTAATTGGTTTAAGTCGAGACTGACCGGCGTCACCTGAGCAAAAAAAAAAATAAAAAATCAGGCAAAATGGTTTTAATATTAGTCAAGGCTGTAATAGTATATCTTCTTTACGGATAATCCAAGGCTTTAGAAAATATATATTAGACATTTATTCTACGATTAGATACTATTTTTATTACTGCAGAATGAGACCACGTATTTTGTCAAAATTTTACTAARCAAATACATAAATTAATTTCTACTAATTTGGAAAGTGAAAGTGTAAATTAATATTTTTCAGTTGTTGTTGGATCCGGAGATGTATACGTTGTTGACTTTGTTGTATGACTTGGGTCCGCTGTTGTTGTTGTTGGTACATCAGATTTACCATTTAGGCAACTTTGTAAACTGTTATAGATAATTTTGTTATTTCCATCGTATTTACGCTTTGAATCGACCAGGCAAACATTCTCTTGATAATCAGATTCGCTATAAGCTTGTCTCACTTTACCCAGCATATCGGAGGCATTTACGTTAACATTATACATAGTACGCTCATTTGTATTACTCTGTGGGAAAAGCAAAAAACAATCGTATTTTATATAAACATTTTTCTGGGAACAACTTTACTTACCGCCAATTCGAAGCACTCAAAGTAATCAATCGAGTCCTTGTTGGGTACACAGTTTTCGAGCAATTTGCAGGCATGCTCACTCGAATCCTCGATTTCCTCTCGCTGCTTATATGTTGATTTGTCAATTTTTTTGCGTCTATCTTCGGAACTTTCCAAGCATTGTGAATATTCCTCCTCATATTSCTCATAGCAATCGGTGAGTTTTGGCAAATAGTAACCGAAGCATTCGTTGGAACGCTTCGGATCACTTTGCTGGAAGTTGCGCGTGTTCAACAAGAAATCAATCAAAGTCTGATCGACGTTGAGTTCGTGTATTCTGCTGTGGTGGCGTGTTAGGCCCGCATGCGGTTGAATAGCGATGAAAAGGACGGTAAGTAGGGAAAATACCAATGAACGCGACATATTTTATGAGTTGGCTTTCTTTGTTGATTCTCGAGTACTTCGATAATTAAAAAGTAATGATTTTCAATTTAAATTGCTTTGGGCGCCTTGCTCGCTGTTACTCTAACAATTTGGACTGTGACATTCCCAAGAGTGTTCTAACATTTTATATTTTACTGCCAGCACCCAGCGACTTTTCTGATAACGTGGTAAGGTTTGAAGAAATTTGTGAGGTGTGTTTTTTTAATTTTGGATGATATTTTTCATTTCATTGCTAGACATCTCGCTTATCGTCCACGCGTGTCTTTTACAGTACAGTAATAAGTCTGCGGTGCTCCTGCAAGCGATATAACTTTTKCTTTGCCAGAAGAGTACATCGAACTCTGTTTACCGGTCATTAGCAGTTGCAATCATAAGTAATTACACTTCTCAAATACAATCACTCACGTCATTTTTATTACGAGCCGCTTTTAAAACTTGGTATAAATGAAAAATTGTGTTTACAATTAAAAATTAGTTATCAGTTATCGAAAGGTCAAAGACATTATTTGAGATATTTCGCAATGTTAATGAGTCAGTGTGTTCTTATGGCAGGAGAGAAGAGTTGTTGACCTGCAGGTTATTGTGGTTTTAGATATTTACAACTTTCTTCTCAAACGCTTAGAGTGATTGCTCTACTCATCATAAATATCTCTCTTTATATTGTCTTGCTTTCAGAAATAGTTCCTTTCTTTGGCTAAATCTTTTTTTTTATTCTGAAACAGTCCAATTTACGAAAAACCCTACGGATCAATTGTTGTTCGAAAAAATCTATGAAATGAAATATTTTAATTAAGAGTTCATTCTTCGAGAGCCTTTCWTAGAGCTGTTTATCAATCAATTTTTCAGAGTACCAAGCTTACAAGTCATTCCTTGTTTTCTGATCCACTCTACTTGCCAATATCCATATAAACTTTCCAATAAAGTATTGGATTTTGGCTTCATTTGAGTGCACCGGTGTGCACTGCTTCGAATATTTTCGGGAGTGTTCTCATTTATTCAGAGCCCTCGTCTCTTAATTGACTCTATTAATGTCACCGTTCGAATAACTCATTGTCTATCGTCTGTGGTATTCGCTATTGTCAATACGCAAAGGCCCATAAATATTTCACAGAACTTTTCTCTCGAAAACTCCGAACGCCGAATTATCAAATACTGTTATTGTATGCCTTCACATGATATAGAAGGACAGGAATAATGACTTTACTCTTCAATTGCCTTTTCAGTTCTTAGTTTCAGGGCTAATATTGTTGTTGGTGCTTGTTTTCGCTCCAAATTATCTGCGCCGCCACTGGGATGATTATCAACGGGAATAGGATGGCTGTTTGTTTGATGACAGAAGATATTTTCTCTTACGCCGACGCATAGGCTTTGGTTCATTATTCAGTTTGGAAAAAGCAGTATTAAAGACGTGGTTGTCAGTATCAACGGTGCACGCCTGCTGCTGAACACTCTTATAGAGAATTGTTTTTTCTCTGTTTAGCATTGCAACTTGTATTTCCAGCAGTAGATTAAAAAAGTCATACGATGGAGATTAACCTTCTGAAACCTCGTTTGGTGTTGAATGGCACAGAGAGGTCCTTCCCGACCCTAAAGCAGCTTTGATGGAGTTGGCAAAGGCAGCTTTAAAATCGACGAACAGCGATTCCTTTCCATGAGYATTTTTAGCGCATAGCTATGTAGACGGTGGGCTTTGATCTTTCACGCTTCATTGGTTTAATAATACTGACGTCAGTGGTATCTCAAATCGTARTCCCTGTCAATCGAGTTCTTTGATTTGTGACTTGACTTGTGTGAAGTGGTCAACATCACTGAATGAATTTTCATCAATTGTTCGGGTCTTTCGGCTTATGTAACTTATTTATTTCCRAACTGATAAATTTACTTGGTGGACTCATATATAACATCAAAAAACTTATAAATCGTTGTACTCGAATATAATCGTGCTATACCTGTACATAATTGTACAATTAGCAGAAGTCTTCAAAATATTCTAAATATGTTAAATATCTACCTCCATTGCATCTTTAATGCCTATATCTATTCAGAAAACAACTATATTTAGTTTAGACGTTGATTATAAATCATTTTTAAACAAAGTCTAAAAAATAACTGACTACTTCAGTAGTTCTTCTACCTCAAAACTTTAAACATTAGCTTCACCGAAAGCTTCAGTAGTTGACTGAGTCAGAAAAAGTGATTGCTTACGGTTTTATTATTTACATGTGTCYAATTCAATGGAGATCTTGCGGAAACTGTAATTAAGGCTCGGTCTCAGTTCGAGTAGAGTTCGATCAATAACAGGTATGCAGTGTTTGGKTTTGACTGATTTTGAATTTTCGTCACTTCCTCGATATTCATGTTAGATTAGTTAACGCTTAGCTAAGTTTCAAATTTCCTCAGTTAGGAATTAAAAAAAAAAAAAAATAGTAGAAATTCAGGAACTAAAATCTGTATTTAACTAAATTAGATATACCTTGAACTCGCAATAAGAAAGACAAAAATTGATATCCAGCTAAGTCTAAAACCAAAAATAAGTCAAATGGCAAATAAAAGATGTCGCTAAAGCTATTAGAATGCGCTCATCCAACTGCTTTTAGGAAAGTTGCTCAAAAATCTATCTGCTGAGTGAGTAATTAGCTTTCCAGTGACGCTTATCAGTAACGCACTTCCTAGCGTTTATATTTGTTTTCATATCTACTTATATACATACACTCACTTATCAATAAACGTSTGTTTATAAGCGTTAACTCTCTTATCAGTGTTGAAATGATAAYAAAAAGGTGAATTAAATAAATAACAACATGTGTGAATATGCTCTCTTCTTCGTGGTGACATAATTGCTTATGGCAGAGCAGTTGACTTTTAACTAATTCTTAAACGCTGGTATTGTTTGTCTTAGAAATTGATTTTCCTTCAGCACTTTCAGTTTTAATCACAAAAATAAAGCGGTAATTATACAAAAAACATTTTAAAGCAAGTAAAGTGTTACCATTTAAATTTTCACTTTCATTTAGAAAAAATTAATTCTGTAGTGTCATCTTTGTTGATAATTTCAAATTCAGTACTCATAAGCTGTTTGAAGCTACAAAAAAAAAAAAAAAAAAAAACAGCCGCAAGTGAATATTAAAACTATAACTTATACTAGGAGAAGATGTGATACTAAAGCTCTAACTTAGGTGTTAAAATTTGGTCTTTATTTAGCCTTAGTGCAATACTTGTAAGTTTCGTGTGGGTGAAAATGGATTGAGTTAAGTTGTATTATGGTATGATAGCGTAGGCCTTACAGATTGTTACTGRTAGTGCATGAGAGATGCTCCATTGTTTCCCTGCCTTGCTCTAGACATTTCGTACCGTCTTCTCGATCTGTCAGCCCCATTTGGCGGGCATAACCAGTTAGTATTCCGATCATGTTCCTACAGGTAGCTGGTACAAGTAGTATTATTATTTTTTTTCCAAGTAATGAAGAAGCTTTTGGATGTCAAATTGAAACAAAGTTTTGATTTTGTTAAGTATGTAGGCATGTGTATTAGGGTACGTCAAAAAAAAAAAAATTTAATATATCGAAAGTATGGGTTAAATAAACTTATATACAGAAAAAAGCTTATCTCAGATGTATATTTTTTTGGAAAGTTTCCTTTCCACAAGAATCCGACATATTAAATTTTTTAATTATTTTTACCTTTAAATTAGATTTTTTTGATTCACCCTAATACATATAACTATATAACATGTGATATCAGTATTTATGGGCTTCATTCACGGAAATTTAATTAGAAAATAACACGTTGGTGTTGTTGTTTCTTAATATAGGAAATAATAATAAATAAAGTTGAATAGTATTATTTCTACTCTTGAAGACAAAATGGTAGATAATGGGTTCCTAAAAATACTATAAAATTGTTTGCGTACGATTGTGCATATACTTGTATAAAGCAATTGTAGCCTATTTTCTAAGAACGGCAAACTATAGCGAGCACTCATGTCATAAGCAGAAGGAAGTCATTACAAATCAAATCTTCTTCTTTACTGGAGTGGAAASTGARCATGRAGTTATAGCTCARTTATTATAAATTAAGTAGATTTTATAAATTATAACACTTTGTGTTTTTTGGAAGTTTAAAATATGCATAGAAATACATTTTTTTTCCCTTTAAAAATAGTTTTTTTAAATATTTATTTGGCAATCTAAGAATTTGGAATATAAAACTTGTTTTGTCAATGACAGAGTTACGAAGTTTCGTAGTCGAATCCATGAAGGCTTTCACTGTTCTTTAACATTCTAACCAGTTTATTTGGCGCACATATTCAGTGATTTAGCGAACGCTTTTTTCGATGCTGTTTGGCTTATTGAGTCTATGATATAGGTTGTTACGAGCAAAATTCATTAATGATTTAATCTGTTTATAAGCAAGATATGATCAAGAGGAATACCAGGTATGATCTTTGCTCGACCTTTCACAAATCAAAAAGTGTTCTATCAAAGTACTTGAATTTAAGTGGTGTGTCTTTGTGTGGCAGCTATGTGCTTCAGTGACCTGATCAAAACAATTCCTTCGGAGATTATAGCGTTGCTTTAAGGAGTTTTTTTTTCAATAATTTTTTTCTAATATAAAAAATTAAACATTTTATTATCTATATTTTACACTATTAACAAAGATATTCTGAAATTTTGGGAAAAAAATTATTAAAATTATTTTAAACTCGTCCAATGCGACGTCATTTCCGGTGACCTCTCCGAAAAAAGATGCGATCTCGTTGGTAGCACAACTCTTTACAGGATCTTTTAAAGTGAAAAATATGTGTTTTAGTTCAAACCTTAATTTAGTACTTTGACGAAGAAAAAAAACTTAAAAGTAGGATTTTTACAAAAAAAAAAAAAAAAAAAAAAAAAAAAAAAAAAAAAATAAAAATAAAAAATCTCAGTGAAAATATCACAAATTTTTTTTTTCAAATAGTTGTAATCGAAAAAAAAAAATACTTCGTACAAGTCTTTAAGAGTCAAAAATGAAAAGCGGTTGAGTGGTTGAGTGGAAATCTTGCCAACCCATTTCAAAAACACAGTTTCGAGAAAAAAGCGTTTAAAGACGGCGCACTTAACCTGGCTAGCCTCGAGCGCACAAGTTTTCGAGTCCGTATCTTCGAAACAATTACTTGAAACAACCTGTAAATTTAGGACAATATTGTAGAGGTGTTGTAGTGTTTAATAAGGCAACAAGAAATTCGATTTTTTGTAATCCTTAAACTCATGTTACCTATTAAGAGGTTAAAAATATAAATCAGTTATCACGAAGCCATTCGGGCTGTTCAAGTCCTCCGCTTGAAAAAAAAATCGTGTAAAAATAGAAAATATTCTCCATAAAACCATCTCTGTTGAGTATTTTCAGTTTCTAACTTTCGGACCGCCCTGTTTTGTAGCTTCAAAGCTTGATATACCAAAATTATTGCCTGCGCTGAAGATAAATTCCTGCCTTCTAAATGTTTTTTTTTGTTTTTTTTTTTCTTTTTTACAAAAGAAGCTATATTTTGTTATAATTTTTTGATAAATAATTGTGCAGTTGATGTGTAAACAAACACGTTTGGTGATCAATTTCAAAGTACAGTGGTTGGGACAAGTACGCGCAAACTTTAATTCTTTTAAAATTAAAGTTTGCGCGTATTTTTTTTATTAAAAAAACATACTTCATTTTTATGTTTTCAGCAAAAATACTTATTATATACTATAATATTTCCATAACTATAATATCATTTTCAGCTCCCGTCGAATTCTGACGTCCCTAATCAGCACTTTAATATGCTGCGTTTAGCTGTAATTGAATTTCTGTTGCGGTTAATTGATATTTTATAGAATTACAATCAACCCTAACTGATCTCCAACGCTTTCAATTTATGATAAGGCCGCCGAAAACTTTTGCCCAACGCACATGCCGACACTCACATGTCTACCTGATTGAGTACTGCCGAGCGAAAGCCAGCGCCACAACAATTAGTGGACACATTGCCTAGCTCATGTAACGTACACCGCAATTATTGTCTGGCTGTCTAACGGTACGCCTGTCTATTTCCAACGCCTGTCAACTGTACGGCCCAACTGATTGCGAGCTGAGTGAAATAAACCAAATTGTCTGTCTACGCATAAACACACGGTACTGTCAGATGGTCGGTGTGTGCACTTCATGATTGCAGCAAAGCAAACCAACAACACCGCAGTGCACAACAACAAGCACAATTTGCCATCAATTACACATTTGCAATCGCTTACTTGTTATCTACGTGCTCCACCGTGTCGCCTTACATATGTACCGTTGTCTGAGTGTAAATGTCTAAACCATCAACAATGGCTCAGCGAGTGTCATCGTTAAAACAGTTAGAGCCGCTGTCGCTGTCGCCGTCGCTGTTGCTGCTTTTACTGTGGTTCGCCAACAGCTGTTGCAATCGGGTGCAGGCACTTGCGGTATTATCGGAGAATGTGGTTGGTGGTGGCGCCGGTATGCCAGCGAATGATATTGTTGTTGGCGATGTCGCTCTGTTGTTGACGCRCGTTGAAAATGATTGCTTTGAGACATTTTTGCAGGAGAGTCGAAATGGGAGCAACACCTATGCGTCGGCATATCGTGCATGCCAAATGTTGGGTAGTCGGAAGCGCGTGGAATTTGTGAGCGCGGAATGTTCAACGCGTGAGGATATGATGGAGCAGGTGACCGAGTTGTGTACGAATCTCTGTGATTGTGCACAAACTGTGGGTGATATGGAGTTCTTTGAATGCAGCGCACAACATGTAAGTGTATAGAAAAAGCATAATATATTTGTGTGTCTCTGGGCGGTGTTTGCAAGGAATATAGACATTTTAGTAAGAGCGAAAAATGTTGAAGAGAATATCTTTATATATTAATATAAAAATTATGGGTCACGTGGTTTGTCCGCGATGCGCTCCTAAACTGTTGAACCGATTTTTGCAAATTTTAGCACACAGTGTTTAGTTTGAAGTAACTTAGAAGATAGGATAGTCAAAACAGTTCAAAAATAAGAAATATAGTGAAAGCTGCGTTAAATGTACGCCCTATTAAGCGGTCATTTCCATTAACGTAATGACCGGCCCCACAATTTGTTGATATTTATTAAGTACARTCTATTACGAYAACTCAAACTGTGTTTATGGGAGATTTCACTGAATGTATTTCTAAACATAGGCATCTATTCACAATCCCCAAAAGAATATAATACAGTTAAACTTCCATAACTCAAATTTCTGTAACTCGAAGTTCTCCAATACTCGAACTCTTGAATTAGCAATAGAAGTCAGATTGAATATAAATTTCCTCCCATAACTACAAGCTTTTTTAATGGATTATCTTGATGCGAGTTAGGAAAGTTCAACTGTAATTCTAATTTTCGGTAAAATTCGTTATTTTTTCCATTGGCATTTATGGAATCTATAGCAATGTATGACCATTATTTATCCCTACAAAAATACAATATTAAATCTTTTTTTTTGTTGCCAAAGTTCTAAATTGGATCAACTATTTGTTTTAAAATTTCGGGTKAAGATTCCTGACCTGTTTCGAAGCAGTTTAAATGAAAAATTTTTTTAAAACAATTCAAAGATATTGAAATCGTGCAAAAGCATTCCTCTTCAGAAAGAGAACGTTTTGTTTATGTTTACATCAGTGAAGTATGAGTATTAATATTCCACAAAACACTAAGCTTAATTTTGGTTTTTAAGTTAGACAACGGTTCTAAAATCTATATATTCTCCTTGATTTGTTACGTTACTAAAACTCATTTATTTATATTAGGTAGAAACCATTTAAAACAAATTTTTATTTTTTGACGAATGRCATTACCAACGGGTTTGCAAATTAGGTCTTCCTCCGCAGATTATACGTTTAAGCCTTTTAAATATACCTCCACCTATTAACATTTTAAAAGATAAATGCTTCGTATAATATTGTTAGAGAAACTGAACAATGAATCAKATTGTAATTATTTCTGCCCACATTTCAAATATTCCTGTTAAAACCATACACGTAAAGCAGATTTTGAACTAAAGCAGCTATTCCACCTTAAGTTTCTCATTTTCGRCGTTAAAAAACTGTGAGAGAAATCTCTCACATATGGAATGCTTATCTAAGTGAATAGAGGTCAATATAAGCGATGCCTTTGAAATAGAACCAATCAGACAGTATAACCTCTTACTGTTGATTATCGGCTTCCGAAGTAGTTTGAGTTGGTTCACCGTTTTGAGATCATAATCACTTGCTATTTACATTCTTTGTCGTTTGATAAGCAAATCAATCCACATCGGCTTCAAGGATCATCCTGAGTCTCAAGATGGGTGACGGTCTTGCGAATAGTACGCTCAGTACAGATTATGTTGACCATAAGTTGAGCGCGAGGCACATTCTTTAGAGAACGTGAATACTCGTAATAAATTCCAAAAATTTATGAATATTGTTCAGACGTAAATCTTTCCATGGAAAAATGCCGGAAAATACTGAACAAAAATAACGTGACAGGTTGGCACGCATCACGAGTGATGTGTTAAAAAATATTATTGAAAAAAGTACCTCTACTTGGATCACCCATTATAAATAGTTTTATTTATTACAAGCAACTGTTAGACCAACACGACAAAATACTATCTAAATAACATGTGGTTCTTGCAGAAATAAATATTATTTTATAGGCTGCTGTCAATTTGACTAATTATGGCTTATTTCTTGGAATATACAGTTATAATTGTTGTATGACTCAACAAATTGTAAAGTTAATATTGAAAAAATTTATTGCATCGATTACTCAGTGACAAGTGTTATTTTATATCAAGCAAATCAGACTTCTTTCGTAAAGTTGAATACGCTTTCTTTATTTTTTGTCTTCAAACTTAGTATATTGATTATCATTAATGGTGAGAGTGGTTCAAAAATTTTATGATATTTACTTTAAAATCATTTGGCAACATTTTTTATACGAGTACTTAGATCTAGACCAGGTGGARAAGGACCYGGCTACGCTTGGAATATCCAATTGCCGCCACGTAGCGAAAAGAAGAAACGACTGGCGCGCTGTTGTTAACGCGGCTATAATCGCGTAAGCGGTGTCTACACCCATTAAGAAGAAGACTTAGATCTATAAAATTAACAAGAATTCGATTTTATTTGCTCAAATACTTCAATACTTGCATATCGCTAATACATTCAATAATTTATTTAGAAATAATAGCAGAACTAATTTGATAAACTCAAGCATAGTGATAAGCTAATACAATAATACTTAACATGATTTAATTATGTTGTTTACTCCCGCAACAAAAAGAAAGCAGTGCAAATATATCTAAATATTTTAGTTGTCTAAGTGGCACATAACTTTTATCTAATATTATTACATATATGTACATAYATGTTTATTATAATATATTATTCTTTTGTATATGACGTAAACTTAYCGACTTTCTAAACTGCTTTAGTAAACCTTGAGTCTTTCGCTGATAATAAAATAATTTACATCTGAGAGTAACTTACTTATGGCTATGCTGTAAATTTGCCTGTGAATAATTGAATAAGCTATCTGCAACATTGTCTATGCAATGAGAGTAGACAGCAAGAACTTATGGTAAATTCATAGAGGACTCTGCTTCGCTTTGCGTCAGACATTTGTTTTGACAGAAAAGTTCAATGTACACTTTTTTATGATTACGTTCACATAAAATGTTTTCGACACGAAGCCAGGGAAAATGTTAGGCAACTCTAATCTTTTTATTAGAGTTACATTGAAAGCAACGCTTTCATTGTGGCATTTGTTTTAGTGTGAACTGTCACGCAAAGCAAGGAAAGTTGTAAGAAAATGTATCAGTACGAGTTAGGAGACATGGGTTTATAAATATGATATCGAAACTGTTCAACAATAAGAAGAAAAACAAAAAAAAAACAAAAAAAAAACAGAAAAAAATAAATAGATAAAAGTTATGCATTGCAAGCATTAAAGGTTTTCCATTTGGATATCTTATAACAATTGTGTGGGGAATATTTCGTTTTTTTCTATCAGTCCAGATAAAAATTCATCACTTGGTATTAATGAATGGAAACTATTTTCCTTG